TTCTCACAGTACTTTCCTAAGAAGACCTTTCATCTGTTTATGTGTGAAATATTGGAGTACCTGCTATAAGCCCTCATTATTCTCTATCACGTGCCAGAATTAGAGGTAAAGTCATGATGAACATTTTAAGTAGTCACCTGATACGTATTTTAATCTTTAACAAATAGATTAATTAAGATCACTTACATTAGGGAGCTCTTTTTCTATCCCTAAGGTTAAGTTTTTGGTTGTTTTTTTTTTTCATTAACATCTTTTCTTCCTGTTTTGTTCTCAACTCTTCTTTAGCAGTCATGACTTACAAATGCCATAGGCAGTGCTGCTGAGGGGCCCTTCAGGAATAAGAGATGAATACCAGGGACGGGGGGAGAAGGGATAGGGGATCCCTAAGGGCAAGTTCATTCTTTTGAAAATATACCTGTGGGATGTCCCGATTAACCACTGGCGAGATTGTCTTGTCTGTGGAAATTGGGAGTTTCACTCTTAGCCCAGAATTTCTCGGAAGCCAGAAGAAGTGAGAAATAGAACAGCCTGTCCGGTTCTTCCTACCAGGTAGGAGACTGCGCGCGGCAGGTGCGCTCGAGGCCCCGGAGGCCGGGCTGCAGGGCTGGTGAGGTCCACCTCTCCTACTTTGTCCTTGGCCTCCCTCATTTCCTGCACCATGACTCCTCTCAGAGAGCCCTGGGAGAGGCAGCTGAGGAACCGCTCAGGACTCTCAGCAACGTGAGGCCTGTTTGCCAGGTCGGTGGGGTGCAGCTTCTTGTAGGGGGGCACCTTTCCGGGAGAAGATGTTGATCTGCACTCCTCACGCATGGCACGGGTGCTCCTTCCTTCTCCGCCAGGCCCCTCGCCTGTGGGTCCCAGGCGGGCTGCTGGCCGAGTGAGCCCCATAGAGCTCGCCTTGGTCCCCAGGCAGGTGGGGACTGCTCCCGGGAGCCCTCCTTCCATCCACAAGGGGTGCTCTCCGAGGCCTCTCTAGTTTTCCTGGTTGGTTTTGTTCCGCCGTGGTTTTCTGGTGGTTTGGAGATGGATGGCCTGTTGGGAATTCTGCTTCACAGATGGACACCTCTGTTATTGTTAGAGGAGTGATTGGGTAGATAGATTCGTTCTAGGCTCACTCCCCAGCAGACAACCCTTTAGAGATGACTTGCTGAACAGTTCCTTAATGTCTCCTATGTTTCGCTACAAACGATAGCTTGCTCAACAGTTTTGCAATCTGCCTTCTGGCACTTTGCTACGAAATTGAATGAGCGGGCTGGTGGCACCCAGCCACACTCTGTCTCCTTCCCTTTGTCCCGGTGGGCGATGGCCTGGAGCTGGCTGTTCCAGCACCTCTCTGGCTGGGAAGGACGCCATTGTCTGTCATAGTATTTCCTTTATCACACTGCTGTTAGGAATCCGGCTCTCCTGGGAAGGCCCCTGTGGGGTGGACTTCTGGGAGGGAGAATGATCAAGAACCAGTGCCCTTCCAGGCTTCAAGTTGCTTTGGAAGAATTTTTATGAATCTCATGCCTGATCTTCTTATTTTAACAGGGAACAAATTCTGGAGGTGAGGAAAAGACTGTTTGCCTGGGTTGGGGGAGAATGGAAGGAGGACTGGACACTCTCTGACAGAAGAGAGAGACTGGTGCACGTCATCTTTGTTTTAATTAAAACGTTACGCAGTGCAAACATTTGCTTTCCCATTCTTCACCCCACCGCAGAAGAGCTATAATTTCCCATATTTGGAATTTGGGGAGAGCCAGGCCTCATTTGAGGACAAGGCCAGATTCAGTCTGTGCTTTGGGGGGATGTAAGTAAATGTGAGCCTTGAGGGCTGCGGTATTTATAGTGAATTTATGATTACTGTTTGCCTCCTTGTCATAATTTATTCAGCAGCCCTGATGTCCGGGCGCTGGTGCTGTGCCCATCAGTAATCTGACTCCTGTTTTCGCCTGCATGTTTCCCCCTTCGCGAATGTATAGGCATTCAGCTTTAATCAAGGAGACTTTTGCTCTGTCATCAGTAACGGGGTTGACTGAAGTCACGTGGAGGGTTTTAAGTAACTAATCTCTTAAGACATTCGGAGCATAGTCTCCGGGCTCCCGCTCGTCCGCCTGCATCCCTGAGATCTGCGAGGTCTGCAGAGGAAGGCCGCACGGGGACTTGGGCATCCTTCAGGAAGACCGGGTGTCCTCCTTGCTGGTGGCAGGTTTCTGTTTGCTTTTGGCATGGGGACAGGGCCTGTTGATCATTTGCCAGGTCAAGAGAGTTCAGGCCGCCCCTTGAGTGTGACCAGGGCGCTGGCACAGAGAACCGGTGCCAGGCTCATCGGTGTCTGCGCCGTGTGCCCAGGGCTGGCTCTCAGGGAGCTGCTGCAGAGCAGAGAACAGGCCTGCTGGCCCGTGGTGTCCGCGGACACTTGTGTGAAGTTATGTCAGGTCGCTTAAAAAATCAGGGACGCAGGATCTAAAATGTTCACATTTTACTTATAATTTGAATGTGGCTTCATATATGTGGCATTTATTAGACTAAATTAGATTACCGTTGCTCTTCAAGTGGTCATTTCTTTATTTTCTGTTTCCACCCACTTTCTGATGTTAGCTAAGGTTCTTGCTGTCAGAAGTGTCCTGCGGAAGAATTTGGTGACTATCACTCCTAACTGCGGTCTTTGATACCTTCTAACAGGTAAAACTCCTAGCGACTAGACTAATGAGGAACGTGAGTTTGAGTTAGTAAAATGCGTGAATTGCCGAATATTTTTCAAGAACATTGTTACTATTGTTAGGTAAATATTGTAAGCCAGAGGGGCTGGTAGAGCACCTAATAAAGGTCCTTGGGGATCCTGCATTAGAAGACAAACAAGAACGATTTGCAATTAGCATGTCAATTGTGTATGTAAATGGTGTTTCTGAAATACTAGATTGTGTGTGAAAACAGTTTGTTCTTAGGTATTTTAAATGGTCCCGATGAAACTCCACATACATGTGCTGCTGGTAGCTTATATGTGGTATAAAGACCTGATTTGTGAAAACTAATTCAACCATTATGAGCAAATATCTGAAATTCCAAGTTAGGGAAGTCCCTGATCTCGCCACCCAAGATTAGTTCAATCTCTCTGCCAGATGCTTCCCAGCACCTGCACTGGTCTGTTGTAACAGGAATTAGTAAGTTAACACACACCTAACGTGCGCTGCTACATGCTTGGCAGTGTGTTACACGGGGGCATGACCATCGCTCTTGTGTAGTTTATAGGTTAGCAAAGAAGTTGGGCAGTAACCAATAAATGCGCATATAGTTAACTACAATAGTGAAGCTAGACTGTAAATTACTTTTGTCTTTTCAATTGAGATTACTTTTTAGTAATGGTTTAGTGCCAGGATTATGTTGTTGTTCCTGGTGTCTGAAGCCCCTGTTTGCCCTGCTGCTTAGCACAGATATTCATTGAAACGGATGACATCACCATGTCTGTAGGTTAAAAATAGCAATGTCGAACGGTTCAACCTAATAGTTGCTCTGTCAACATGTTGTATCGAATGTAGAAGACGTGTCGTAGTCAATGAGCTCTTAATAGTAGGCCGCATTTAACACCGTTTTCTTTAGCCAAGGAAATGCCAGCTACAGCTTCAGGAAAGGAAGTCCAAAACTTCAAGTTGCTAAAACCCGCGGACCTGCGATGGGACATGGGGCACGGGGCATCAAGAGGACTCGAGAGCCTTGTGTTCAGCCTGGGTTCTGTGCAGTTCTGGGTTCCTCTCCAGCCAAGGTGGAAGGGGGTGCATTTCTGGGTCGGTAGCGCTGTCAGTAGCCCAAAGAACCTGGGGCGCTGCTGGAAAGCTGCGGGGGAAGGCACAGGTGGGGCAGGAGAGAGAAGAGAGACCTGTCAGCCCTGCTCAGAGGCGGCTCTGTAATCCCAAGCAAAGGGAGCACTCACTCCTACAGTTCAAACCTCCAGGGCACCTCCGGTGGATTCGAGTGTGCTCACAACGTGCTCAGCTATGTGCTAGGCACTGCCAGTCCTCACTGTGAGCCTCCACTGTGCCTTAGTGGCGCGGGCTGGACACAGACCGCTGGCCCACTGGGGGTGAGGGGTGAACTGAGGAGAAGGTCCAGCTGGGCCCTGCGGGGGCGAGCGCAGCGCTCTGACGTGGTCCTGCTCCCTATCTGTGGGGCTGGGTGAGGGCCCAGCCTAGGGCTTGGGCCCGAGCTTCCCGAACTTCCCTTGCTAAGCACATTTTTGCATCTGTTTGGACTCCTATGCCCACATGTCTAATTGTGCCACTCTATTATAATGCTCACTATTTTCTCACACCCACAGGACAATTTCCAGTTCAGCTCTAGTCCACAGCTATTTGTTGAGCATTTTCTGTGCCAGCACAGGCTGGGGTGGCAAGTTAGGGAAAACACAAGTGTATGACCTTGTTTCCCGCCCCGGCAGACATTGTTGGTTGCTACGCAATAGCCATACTTTTCTCTCCTTGGTGGCAAGGTCCTGATTGGCTTTCAGTGCCATGTTCCCCTCCCCACCCACTGAAGGAGAGGTGACCCCGCGTCCAGCACCAGGGTAAAGGCTGATTGATCTGAGCCAGTCACGGAGGCCTCTAGTTTAGACGTGGGTGCGTGGCCCAGCTTTGGCCAATGAGATATGAGAAGTCTGCTGGGGGGATTCTGGGAAAGACGTCTTCTCTCTAAAAAAGAAACATAGAAGAAGGGACAGCTTCCTCCTCTAGATTCTTGGCCATGAGGCAGCCATCTTGTCACCATGAGGAAAGTGAGTCTGTTGAGGCCCCCAGGAGGAGAGAGACGGGAGGAGCAGGGATTCCGGGCAACAGCGCCACTGCAGACCCAGCGGGCTGGCCTCCCCACTTTCCCTCCTCACCTTCCCTCCTCACCGTTTCAGCCAGTTGAGTTGATGTTTTCTATATCTTATAGTTGAAGGCAACCGACGTTAGGCACTGTCTCCAAGGAGCAGGAAATAGGATTTCTTCTTATAAAACAGTACAATTCAGGTTACCATCTGCCCTGGCCTTGTAGCTCAGCTGGTTAGAGTGATGACCTGATATGCCAAGGTTGTGGGTTCGATCCCCAGTCAAGGCCCATAAAGAACCAAACAATGAATGCATCAACAAGGAGAACAACGAATTGATGTCTCTCTCTCTCCTCGTTTCTCTGTCTCTAAAATCATCAGTTGGTTTGTGCACTTAAAAGAAAAGATGGCCATCAGGAGGCATACCATTCAGAGCCCCGTGCTTAGCACCGTGGTAAGGCAGGGGAGAGGGAAGGATGTTGGCGGGAGGGACCTGAGTGGGGAGGTTGTATTTGGAACAGAGCCTGAGGTAGGATTAGGATGGGCGTAGGAGGAGCCGAAGGCATTTGAGACACTAAGGCAGGAGCAGACCTGTGGAGGCAGGAGTGGACATGGCCTTGCCAGAGAACCCTGGGATTGTGTCCTGGCTAACTGCACAGGCAGAGCCTTCAGCATGGTGGATTGCGGGCTCACACGGGGACCCCGATTGTGCGGTGGGAAGGATCGGGGCCCTGGAGTATGGGACAAACTAAGGGGCCCTTGGGAGGGAGGCTTAGGCAGCCGGGCACCAGGTCGGTTGGAAGGGAAGAAAGGAAAAGCCGAGTGACCAGTTTAAGCTCCTGAAATAAATCAGTTACAGGTGGAGAGATGTGAGTAGGAAGCAGAGGGAACTGGGGAACATCGAAGGACAATTAGGAAGGAATAATATAGCGATTAGAAGAAGTGTTGATGGAATGTCGAGGAGAGGGGAGACTATAAGATGACTCCAAGAGTTTGAGCATGGCGATTTGGGAAATGGCATAAAATGGAAATTTGGAAGAGGGAATTGATGTTTAGGAAGATGCTGTTTGGTGTTTGTCATTGCGGCTTTGTGGCTGTGATGGAAGGTCTAAATAATGGGACCTTGAATTCATCTGAAAATATGGGATAGTCCTTGGGAATGAGAAGCCAGGCTCTAAGATGATGTGGCATGCTCTGGCAGGGGGATAGCTCAGTGGGTTAGAGTATTGTCCTGATATGCCAAGGTTGTGGGTTCGATTCCTGGTCAGTGCACATAACAAGAATCAACGAATGAATGCATACGTAAGTAGAAAAACAAATTGATGTTTCTCTCCCTGTCTCTGTCTCTCCCCCTACTCTCCCTCTCTCTCTAAAATCAATACAAATAAAAATGATCTAATAAAAAGATGATGTGACAGAGATGAGAACTCACTAGATTCGCACACACTCCCAGTTTTCCAGCCTCCCTCGCACTTTGTTTGGGGCCTTGTGACTGGTGTTTGTTAGTCAATAAAATGGGAGAGAAGTGACAGGTGTCATTTCCTGGTCAGGCAGCTGAGAGCCATGTGGGCATCCCTCCGCCTCTTCTTCCTGAGCCACAGCAACCTTGGGGCCAGGGGTCAGGCGTGTGGGCACGAGGGGAGGAGGGCCATCCTTCCAGCCTCAGACTTGGATCGCTCTACCTTCCGCCAGGAGATCCTGTGGCCGCCAGGTCTGGACCTGTGACTGGGTGGCATTACTCACTGCTAATTGGGGAGGACCCAGGTGATACAAGGTCTCCAGTCATAGTTTCCCACTTCACTTCTGCCTTGATTTGCTCGTGGGTCTGCGATGAAGGGGCAAGAGTTTGCTGGCTGGCTTTCAGTCCACTCGGAGGCTCTCATTGATTTTGTGGGCAGCTTTACTTCTTTTCCCCACCCCCACTCCCAAGGCTCTTTAGCTTTCCAGGGAAGGGGATCCGTGTTCATGAGCTATACTAGCGAGGTGGCTGCTCTCTCCACAGATCACCAGAATGTCAAGTGGCTTGCGGAGGGGCTTGTCTTGGTGGCTGGTATCCACTGGTGACCAGCTTGAGCGTCACAGCCATCTGGCTAAAAGTAGAGAGCTTCAGGAAAAAATTCCAGACCTCCAGACTAGACTAAGAATGAGGTGCAAAGCCCAACTTTGTAATCTTTCCTACTCTCAAAAGATTCAAAATGTGCCTTTTCTTAAAGGCTCAGCAGCGCGGCGCCTGGCGCTTGGAGTGGACCTCTCTCTCTTTGTTACAGCAGTGTATTCATTTTGCCTGGCTGACTCACATTATTTTCCTAAGGGCAGAGGCCCCAACGCAGTGCTGGGAGGCACTTGGCATCTGGTTTTTGTCAGGCAGCGAGTAAAAGTGCAGACGTTGAATCTGATCTTGCTTTAAACAAAGCAGAGCCAGACGCGAGGAAAGGGCCTTTGTGCGGCGCCTGTCCTGCTCCTCGAGTGAGCCCCAGTGTGTCTGTCTTGTTTCTCCTCTCACTGAAAACTTGGCCCCATAAACATCCGGGAGACACCCCTTCAACCCTGGGAGGCAGCTGGCATTGGCCACTCAGGGGTGTTTTTTTTCTGTTTAAAAATGTAAAGACAGGAAGGGGCCATTTTTTTTTTCTTTCTTTTTTCTAATCATCACCTGAGGACCTTTTTTTTTTTTTTCATTTCTTTTATAGAGAGAGGAAGGGAGACAGAAATATTGATGAGAGAGAGAGAGAGAGAGAGAGAGAAACATTGATTGGTTGCCTCCTCTACACACCTGGACTGGGGATCAAACCCTCAACCTTTCAGTAATGGGATGATGCTCCAACCAACTGAGCCACACTGGCCAGGGAGGACCATTTCTTTGTTTAATGGAGAGTTGGTATTTTTATTTTTCCTCCACTTTAAATAAAAGAGTGGGGGTTGTAAATATTTGTTGATGCCTGTCTGTTCACGGGTAGCCACCCTGATTTTACCCACTGTGCTCCCTGCTTCCCCTGCCAGGCCTCGAAGGCCCAGGTCTAGTCCCAGGAAGAGGGTGACAGTGGAGCCATCTGTCCTTCCCGTCATCTGTCCATCTGTCCACCCCACCAGCATTTACTGCGCCTTTATTATTGAGCCTGCCGTAGGATTTGGGGCAAGCTACCTAACTGCTGTAAACTCCCATTCCCTCATCTGACCAGTAGTAGGGGCTACATGCTTGGGTGATTGTGAGCCGTAGATGGGGCCCTCTGAGCAGAGCGCTTTGCATCATGCCTGGCACATGGTAAATGCTCCGTAAATGGTAGCTGTCATGATTATTTTCCAGGGTCAGGGGTTCCACCCTGGTCAGCTGACTGCCATAAGTTGCCTTACGCACGTGTGGCCATTTAGAGGGTGGATTGAGGCCATCGTACATAGTTGCTGAGCCATAAAGCATGGCCTCTAGACCACATTGCCACCTCCCTTGGGACATCTTGCTGTTCTTGCTTCAGTCTTGGCGACGCCGTTGTAGCTGGGCTCCAGAAATCCCTGAGCCGTTGACCGTGTATGCGGGCCATGGAGTGCTCACCAGCCTCATGTCCGCTGATGTGCGGCGCCGTGGGAGCCTTGCGGGGCTCCTCACTCTGTTGCTTGGACATTGCTGCCTGGGTCTCACCTGCCCTTCTCCGCCACCTTTCCACCACCTGCCACACCTCTGCCTCCACCTGTCCAAACAACGTGTAAGCCATTCTTTCTTCTAGCCTTCTTTATCTACTTTAAGCTCCTGTTTCTGTGAGTCCTGCTATTGTCTTCCCTGTCTTTTAGCGTTTCCTTTGTGTTGTCAGCATCTCCTGTACGGGCGGCGCTGTGACGGGCGGAAAGAACCCACATGGGCCGTTTCTGTGCACAGGAATGGCCGAGTATCTCATTAGTGTCCTGGGGAAGGTGAGTGATTTATTGCTGATGGCGCATGTGTTCCCTGAGTTAGCATCACCTGAAACACAGGCGTCTAAGCGGCAAGGATCCGCTGGTCAGCTACCAGGCTTTTCTGCCTGTGGCAGTGGCCGCAACCTGAGGGACCCACCCACAGCTTGTTCCTGCAGCTTCCTTTGTTGCCCTGGCTTAGCTGTCTAAGTCCTTGGTGTTTCGCCACTGCCGACTCCCTTGCTTCTGCCTCTGGTGATCTTGGTTTCCTGTGACTGCTTGTCAATGGGCACTTTCTGCCTCATTCCACCCTCCTCCAACGATTTGAGGAAGTTCTCACCTTTCCTGTTTCCGAGCCAAAAACCATCCCCGTCTTGGCTGGTACGCATATTGTGCTAAGAGGAACTTTTGAAGTAAAATTGGACATCATAAAGTACTGGCACCATTCACCTCCAGGCCTTTTAAAGTTCCTAGAAATCTTCCGGATCCATCTTTTTGACTCCCTCCCCCCAAGTCGCCGCTTCCTCCTGTGGATAATGATAGTGGCGTTTCCCCAGAAGCGAGGCAAGGAGGGCCCTGGCCTGGCGCCTGTGGGAAGAGACGAGAACTGCTGAAATTTGTGTTCTGTGTCACGGAGCCCGAGGGTTCAACCGGCGCAGTGGTGAGGGCAGATCTCAGTGTGCTCTGAAGGAGACTTTGTCCTGCTCCAGCTCGGCGCTGCGTTTAAGCTGACGCCGACTCCGCAGGGAGATGATGCAGTTACGGGAAGGCACGGCCGTGCCCCCTCGTTAAGGCAGGGGAAAGGAGAGGCCTGGAGGCCACAGCCAGGCTGGCCTGGAGCAGAGTGGCCCAGCCGGCTGCCAGCCAGCCCTGGCCCTGGCCCTCACCTCCCCGGCTGCTGTGCACCCGCCCATCCCCCTAAAGCGCCGCATCCTTGGGCTTCCCTCCCCCACCCCTTCCGCCCCACCCAGGCTGCAACCTTTGTCCGGCCTTCTCCTCTGCGGTCCAGCATCTCCCTGGGTCCTCCAGCCCCTGCCTCACCCGGGCTGGTTGGAAGGCCTGTGGGCTGCCGGGGAGAAGTGGAAGCTGACATTTATTGCCCCCTGTGTTGCCTCAGGCTCTGTGGTTCTGTCCCATTCTCTGCTTTCACTGGTGTCTGGCCAGGGGACTGTCATGCAGCCCCCTGTCCAGATGGGCAGTTGAGACACGGCACGGTTGTGGGGCTTCTCCAAGCCCCAGCCAGTGCAGGCCAGCACTTCTCTGAGCCCTGGTGAGGGAAAAGGGACCCAGTATTGTTTTAATCCGCTTCATTGTGGTATAATTGACACAGAACAAAATGCATCAATTTTAAGTATGTAGTTCTTTGAGTGCTGACGAGTGTAAACAGTTGTGCAAACCACCATTCCAGT